TTTTTTAAAACCACTATATTGAAATACATAAAATAAAACAAATCAAACTTAATTACAGGGGCGCTTGATCCGATAGGGGGGGGGGGGTAATTTGGATGGCTCATACTCTTCTGATCACTGTGCTTTATACGCCCTGTTTATTGCCAACATTCATTATCGCTCATCCAGTCTTATTTTCGATAAAATATTGTAGCGTTTGATATATATATTCTCCTTGAAGGTGTACAAAAGTCAATATGTATTCTTAGCTTTGTTGCTAGGGGATTAAAGCCCTCCCTTATCAAGGTAATTAGTTTTATATCTCATCTTTTATCATTAATCGTATTGTGTGCCATAGATATCGTGATCTATAGCGAAATATGGCCCAAGGACATCAACGGTTCAAAGTTTATTCTTAGATTATCATCTTATCGTTGAAATAAAATGAAATGTGCACAGCATTTCTTGAGATGGATTATGTAATATAATGGGTTAACCTGGGTCATGTAGTCCACTAGTTTAGATGTCATATTTTTGCAGAAACGTGCGATGACTTTAATAATTATGTTTAAAAGTATCTCAGAGACGCCCACGGTTTATTCAAACTTTTACACAGGGTAATCGTTTGCTATGGGTAAAAAGTTAATTTGTGAATGTCAGAAATATAGTACTTCTTTTAAGGGCAGCCTCTCTCGTGATTCAGCATACATGTTGATTTGTTGTCGAACCTTAGACCTCCCCATCCAAGGCCTCTTCTGCAATACCACTGGGCCCATTTCTTCACCTTCAATTCCATGTGTACCTACCCACTCACAATCATGCTGGGGCGGATCAAGCTTTTAGGATTCTCGAATGGAGGAGCTCGGCTAGTCTGTACAGTCATGTAAACCAGAAAATGTAATACATTTTGAAAAGAGAGAGGAGAAAAAAGAGATAAGTGGTAATGCCTGGTATAAACCCTGTTACTATATGTATGTAAATTCTCCCTACTAAGAAAGGGAGCAGACATGACATAATTATTCAGTGCCTCCTCCCCCCCCCCCCCCCTCCATGCCGACTTCTCATATTTCCTGCTACCGTAACCATTATGAAAAGCCCTTCGAGTGACGACTATTTAGAATTTAAAAAAATCACGTTGCCAATAATATCAATATGAACCAAATCCCGGTTGAAATCCAGATGGATTTTCAGAATATTTATACACTTATTTATTTCGATGTTAAATATAATGCAATGGGGAGGGGACGACGATATAGATAAGCCTCAGCATTAACATCATTCTGTTCAGCCCCGTCTTGTCAATAACAAACGTGACAATATGTGTGGAACAAAGCTCTTTCCACGTAATACAAACCTTGTTCATCTTTACTTGGATATGTTACAAATATTCCATAGAGATACCATAATAAATCATTGTGGATTCGACGTTGATGTACTTTTTTTTTACCCCTGTGTTCATACGACAATGAAGAGTGGTAGCAACATGGAGTGTGCGAGAAATGATCCTTGCCCCCTGATGAAAAGAAATATGTCGTATTTTGCATGAATGTTTATCGCTCGAAATTTAATGTTCATGAAAGCTCCTAAGGGCACACCATAAAACATGTAGAATCTTATCACCAAACCACAAGGAGTATTCGTCTGATATTATTTTCAAGAGAACGATACACTGGAAGTTGACGTGCAATGGTGAATGGAGTAACATGTCTACATACATTAGGGCAATACAATTTCAACCCCCCCCCCCCTCTCTGAACCTTTGGAACCTTTGGAGACGGAGTGCTTCTGATAATCATTAACATCTAAGCTTTACATGAAACTATATATTTCGAAATGCAATTTGCATCTTAACGAGTACTAAAGCACATATTCTCCCTTCTATAGAGAATAAAGTCTCTCCCAGAACTGCGTATGTTTCGGGAGGGTGGGGGGGGGGGGGGCAGGAACGGGAAGGACAGATGGTCTCAAATGGGGTCCCCTAATATTCAGGGCATGAGGTCACAAAGGGGCCAAAACAAAAATCATGACTAGAACAAGGGCATATGGATCGGCTGGGGGAGTGTAAGTTGATAATGTGAAGACAAATGAGTAAATCCATCCAAAACACCTTTCCTCCGACCAAATCAAGTGATCAAAGAACCTCTCAGAACCTGCCGATATCATTATCAAGTGGTAGGTGTCCCTTTCTACTTCCTTCGGGTTTTTGTTTTATTGTTTTAAAAACTCCTAACTTTATTTACGCCTTAGGTCCAATCAAAAGTGAAAACAATCACAGTCCTACATAGTACAATGACTGCTTTTACTAATCACATATGCAGCAGACATTGTTGGAACGATTCGCATGGCCATGGGAAGAGAGAGGCGGCGAATTCGAACCTAAAGTAACAAACAAAATCAATGAAACTTTGAAGTAAGTTCTGTTTTTGCGTGAAGGATTGAAAGGCTATATTTGAAAAGCAGTTATACTGGTCCCACCCAAATCGACAGAATTTTCAAGAATTTTTCGCGTCAGTTCTGATATGTTCGAACATTCATCATCAACCCGAGTCACCTGTAAACCTTTCGATTTGATTATGAAAATGACCCGTTTCATTTTTCAAAGGTATTGCATTTCAGGTTGATACATGCAAGCTCGTTTTTATTTTATTTTGATATTTGCATGTTGACAAATAAAAGGAATGAAAGGGTGAAATGCATTCCAAGTATAAGTTTAAGCAGAATGCCAGATCCTTTCAAGAGTATATCACTTTTAATATACATGCTGTATACATGTTATGAAACGGCGGTGAGTGACAGAAGCCACAGGAAAAAGTTTATTTTTTATATTTATTCGATAGACATTTTTCAGTCTACAAATAAAACTCCTTGATATGACATAGAAATAAACCTTATCCCCTTTAACACTGAGAGCTTTCATTCTTTGTTTTATGTTTTTTTTCCTTTTCTTTATTGATGTCCTTTCTGCCGTTAAACATTATTCTAAGTCAATATTATTGACAGCTCATTTCATTAATTTATCCGTTTATATCCGTTTTTATAATGTTTTCTTTATATCTTTATTTCCAAATAACAACAAGAAAAAAATTGTCATCTCATTTTCGAATTCGCAAAAAATCTGTTTAGCTTTACTTTTTTGGCAAGTGCATGAAGAAAAATATAACCATTATGATTTTTGTCATCAGGTTGCCGTAGAAAACTAGCAAAGAAATCGATTTCCATGGAAGATGATACACCTACCTTTACCTCGATGAAGTGTGAATGATATTATTCGAAAGAGAGTCCATCTGCTAGTTCAATGTCATTTATTGTCCAGACTACACTCAAGACCCTTTTCTTTCACACTTTTTTTGGAGCAGAAGTTTATCAACCTAGTATAAAAAAATGAAAGTATACAAAAACGCAGGTTTGATAGGCATTTACCGTCTGCACCGTCCATTGCGAACTTTATAGATTCGGCTTCAATAGATGTGCAGGTAGAAAGTCATGTGAGCAGGTGTTTATTCTGCCCTCGACTGCCTTTTTCTCAATTTTGTGCTATTTCTTATCGATCTGTCTACCAAGGATATCTTCTTTTTTTTCTATTCAAACTGAAGTTTGGTTTGAATATGTTTTATATACAAAATCTTCGTAACTATGTTGTGAAAAACATTAATGAAGAGGAGTCAGAGGTCTGTTTTTCAGTTTCTTTGTAGAAAATTTGACTTGTGAATTTCTTTTTCAATGTTTTCCCCTGCCCTGTTTGAAATGCAAGCTGTGATTAACTCCGTTCACATTAACTTTTGCTAGCATATTAAAGGGGTCAATTATCGTTTGGTCTACACCCGGCCCGTCTTCTATCCATATGGTCTAATAATCATTTAATCATGAATAATAATAACAATCATCAAAATTAATGATAACTAACCTAATTATGGATGGTAGACGAAATGGACGATAGAAAAATTTGGAATTAGACCGACTAGCATTTAGACCAAATGAGTGATAGACCAAATGGGTAGTAGACTTATTGGAGATTAGACCAAAATGTAAATTAGACCAAATAACTAATAGACTAAATGGTCTTTAGACCAAATGACTAATAGACTAAATGGTCTTTAGACCAAATGATAAGTAGGCGAAATGTTTATTGGTTCATGTGGATATTAGACGCGCTGGGTGTAGACCATATGGGAACAGACCGATTGGGTAGTAGACGAACTAGTTATAGAGCAAACGGTTGTTAATGAGTAGGCTAAGTTGTGTCTATAGTTGACAATATTTTTTTAGATTTTTCAGCTAGCACTCACTAGCCAGTAAAGTCTAGATACGTATCTGGTCCGGTGATGGCGCTATACGACAATGGGAATCATGGGCATGAGATTCGAGCGAAATTGAAGTTGCAACCAAACATGCTTTTGCGTGGGGGGGGGGGGGGGGGGGGGATCTCTTTGTCGAATCTGTTTTTTTTCCCCTATATCTTTTGCAAGCTTCATTCAAAGGGGGGAGCATCAACAAAAAAGGGTACCTTCAAAGGGAAACATCAAAGCGAAAATATACAATTTTGGGACATTTGTGTATACCCTGTTTTGTGATTTTTATATCTATTTCTCTCTTTAAATGGTCCAAAATACTGCTTAAGCATCATACTTTGCAGTTGGATGAAGATACATTTGCATGCGAGCCCCCCCCCCAAAAAAAAAGACTGAAAAGACCTTTAATAAGTTACATAATTGCATCAACTATAAATGCGAGGGAGCTTAGTCGCTTTAAATTAGGACATATAATGGAGAAAGGAAAAGGGCACTTATTAGAAAAGAAAAGGAAAACGTTTCGAAATAAAATGGGCGTTTATCAGAGGTGAAAAGGAGTCCTCATCAGAGGTGAAATTGGGGACATTTATTTCATTACGTCCTTCGTTTTTAAACTGCTTCATGTCATATTTTGGGGGGCTTATTTTTGTGATTTCTGAGAGTTCTTGATCTTACCACTCAGCTAAAAAGTATGTCGCCCTCATGTGTTTTCATTGTGTAACATGTAAACAAGATGGCGGGGAATACTATCGTACATAGTCAAACTTCTTGACTCTTCGTGACTTGTTTAAAATCAAGGAAAGTGTCCAAGAAAATGGATGGCTCAAGGAGGAAAGCCAATGTTCGTGTGAAATATTCCGGAGAATCTGTGCCGAAACCGAAAATGCCAACTCCTGAAATAGTCGTTGATCATGAGCCTGAAGATGACACTGCTTCCGATGCGGAATACAGCGACGATAGCGAGTAGGTTCACCAGTCATGACGAGTGGTCCGGTAGAGCCTGGCACGCCCACGGCTCCGGCGGGCGCGGGCCTTGGGCTCCAGTACTGGCTCTGCAACTCTATATAAAATGGTGGGGGGGGGGGGGGGGGAGGAGGAATTTAAGATAAAATGTATAGGGTTACTTCTTTTTACTTCAGTAGTTTTAATAGTTTCATTAAGGAGAGCCCTACGTCTGCACACCTACATAAATCATTAAAATTAAATGATTTTTGGTCATTTCACTTTAGTTACTTGGAAGTTGGATTGAAGTCTTTTGGTTTTGTTGACAAGAATTCTCTTGCATATTTCTCAAAAATGTGCTTGATCTCATCTAACCTGGTCAGACATAAGTGTTGTGTATATTGAGATATTGTCTTATTCCTCATAATCTAGTAAGAGAGTAAGTGTGCCCAAAAATTTTGTACAAAAATACTCTACTAATTCAATCAAAAACATTTTAATTTTTACAAGAAAGGGTGGTAGTGTTGTGTCATGATTACGTTATAGTTGCAACACGCTAACCAAAGCAATGCACTCATTCAGTTACGTTGACTTGTTCAACTTAAAAGATAACAATCTGTGCATTCTAGACTCAGATGCATTGTACATAAGTAGAAAATGTATTGGATCTGAAAATGGCAATGCTAGAGACTCGTCAGCATGAATATTTGAGCTCCACACATTGTCTACATCTAGACCTACTTCATCATTATATTGTTATTGTTGATAATTAACCAGCACTTTAACATTGAATGAGATAATCGTTTATTGTCGGGTGTACAGGCTAACTTTCTATCTTCTTCTATCTCCTTTATTTTGTTTCGCAGTGCTCTTGAACCAGCCTGGAGCAACTCGGTTCATAAAGACTCTGGAGAACTTTTCTACTTGGAAGCAGGAAAACCGGTATTATCGCCTCGGGAAACCAACAAGGGTTCCACAACTCCAAAAGACACAACTCCTGGCAAAACCAACAGGAAAGGCATTGCCCAGCTACAGAAGGTCCTCAAAGTTTCAAAGAGCAGAGACTCTACCCCTCAGTCGTCGCCCAACGGAAGCCGGTTCTTCTCACGGACTCCTCCCGGGAGCAACCACAAGCTGCGGAGGTCATCTCCCGGGTCACAGTCCAACGGGGGCACACCAGTCAAGGAAGTCATTCTGAAAGTAGGGACTTCACCTCCAGGAAGCCCTAAGGATACCCTGAGCATTAGACTCCAGGGATGGTTGGGGATCGTCCCAGGGAAGGGCGCAACGGACCTTCTGTCAGGGAGTGTCATGGGGAATGGTAGAGAACACAAGAATGGAGGACCAGTGCGTGTGGATGACAGATTAATGGTTAGAGGACTTCTTCCACAGGGTGCTGCTATGAAATCAGCGGAAATTGAGATTGGTAAGTTTTCTACTGCTTTGGTTTTGTTTTGTTACTTGAGTGTTGTGTGTAATTTAATTGTTAAGGTATGGGGCAAGTACAAGTAGAATTGCACTCTCCAGTGATTATTACAATATTGTTTGTTATCTGCATTATTGTATCTTTTACTGAATAGAGCACAAAACTTTGCACCCTGAAGTGTACATTATAAGCGATTTATTGAATTGAAGGTACAAATATTGTGCCTGTATCATTTAAACTTTGAGCTTTTTTATTCACTCTGCAGTCTGCAGTTCCTTTTATAAAGCATTATGAAATGTTGACATATTTAAATTTACATTACATACATGTAGTATGTCATACTTGTACATCTCTCTTCTTACTCTTACTTTCCTTTTCATTTGCTGCTATGCTCTTTGATTTATGTATCCCATTTGTTACTTGATCATGAAGTCCAGTTGTACATGTAACTCTGTCTTTTTTAACATGATAAAATTTGTGTTATAATTAAATGTATATACTTTCAAGTCGGAGTAATCTCTCTGTAAACATGGATGTACCAGGATAGTTTCTGTAATATTGATTTATTTTGCAATCATATCTGTACTTTGTAGTTTTGTACCAATAAATTTCATTTTCTACAAGAGTTTTTTTTTTTTATAAAAATAATTAAAAACTTAATTTAAAAAAATAAATTCTAAAGCAAAGACATGAGCGATTTAAACTTGTTTGCGTCGCCAAGGTAGATGTTTTTCATTAATAGACCAGTTCACGGTTAGCACCTTACTGCAATGACCCCAAATATCCACAGATCTTCAAAACATGAAGAGGTTCCACTTTGTACATTTTGAAATAATCACTCCTATAGCGATGGAGGTGCTTTAAAAATAGCCTTTGTTCCCCCTTTTTCAAAGAATACTTTCACCTGTGTACCATGGAGTGCACTGAATGTGCATGAATAATGTTACATAATTTTCATGAGCACGTTTCCAGTATTTCGTCTCCGTGTATTTCAAAATTTGTTCTGCAATGACCTTTATCTGCTCATGCTCAGACTGCAACCGTGAACTGGCTTATTGACAGTAAAGTAACGTATCATTGAAAATGAGAAAGCAGTAAATTTAGTATACGGGCAGGTCCAAGCTATTTGGATTGTGACGTACGGGACATTTAGAGACTTTAAACAAGAAATAACAACAGATGAAATTATTTATATGGCTATCTTTTGGTATGAGTCTGTGGCTATTATGGGCTAGTTCATTTGTGGTCCCGTACGTCACGCAGCACATTAATTACAATAAAAATTAATTAAAAAATTGGTCAGAACTAAAACTTTCCACAAATGAACTTGTAGAGATATGAGTGTGAGGTATTGTGAATGGATATTTGAAAGCGTGTTCACTCGTCACACAACATAACTCTTATTTTTATTTTAGCTACGAGGAAACAAGGTTGCACTGACAATAAAATACATGAAAGAAAGTATTCCCTTTTCGTTATGTTTATTGGGTACTGATGAGGCTGGCCGTACACTTGCAAAGTGTAGCCAAGCACAAGCCGAAGAATCGGAATGACAATGCATAAATGGTAAATGTGAATATTGCACGGAGATTACATAATGATCAATGATGATAATGAACATGAATAAATGCGATGTACATAAATAGAGCTTACGACAATAGTAGAAATGAAGTCGAAAGTCCAATGAAGATGAAGAGAGTTGAGAACGAAGGAAGGGGCTCACGCGATGATGTGCGGAGGCTTGATGGCGGAAACGCGACTTCGTTGACGTGGTTGAAGAACCGTTCAGTTCAGTTCAGTTTATTTTATTTTTGCACGGCGCCAACTTCAGCCAAAGGCTGTTCTTCTGTTGGTCCGTGAAGAACGCGATGTCGTCGCCGACGCTCATGATGATGATGAATGTAGATGGAGCTCTCGCGCGAGAATGGAAGAGATGAGAAGAGATGTGTGGCGCTCGATGACGAAAGTAGTGAGTCGCTTGATGTCGGAGGCCAAAGTGGAAAATGCAGACATCAAAGCCGGTAGTGGTGCTGAGCAGTGAGTCGCTCGATTGATGAGCCGAACTTTGAAGGTGAATGTTTAGATGAGCTGCGGTGAGTCGAGCTCATGTGGGTGAAAGACTACCGGTGAAGAAACTGGCAGCTCCCAGCGGATAACCAAGCACCATATATGTCGGAACTAGATTTAACTGTTCCACTGGAAGACTGCAGCCCGACGAACACGGCAGAGAAAGTGAAGATGTGCCGATAGAAGTGATAGGCACAGTAGAATCAAGCCCGGAGAGGAAATCATGCAGAGACGTGTTGACTCAACTGAGATGTAAGCAGGAGTTGTTGACTCGACCAAGTTGGAAGCGGGAGTGAAGAAAACCTCGTGGTGATGAAAATACGCGGGTGAAGGAATGCGCGGAACCACGGTGCTCGATTGGAAGGAAAAACACACGTGGTCCGAATAATGAATATAAATAAGTACCGTGATGGAAAAATACTGGAGACATGAATGTACGGAGAAAGTAGGGCGAATGTAAGAGCCGCTACAAACTAACCCATAATAGCCACAGACTCATACCAAAAGATAGCCATATAAATAATTTCATCTGTTGTTATTTCTTGTTTAAAGTCTCTAAATGTCCCGTACGTCACAATCCAAATAGCTTGGACCTGCCCACACATGTACATGTACATGTACATGTACTGTGTCTGTATACAGAAGATTGACTTATAAGAGAAGGTTGAGTTCTGGGAAATGGTGACAATTAATTTGTGAGCATTATCATTGTTATTATGCAAGTGTGGAAGAACATCAGATGTTCCCTGAAAAGCATGGCTCTTCTAATGCCTTAATATTCTAAATATGGCATGTACATGTAACAGCATAAAATTGGGACAGATTTTTATGCCACATGTTCGTGTAGTCCCATATATCTTCTGGGTACAGTGCAAGACTGGGCCAAATGTCTTATCATTTTGATAATTCCAGAACCTTGCAGTACACACCAATACTAGATGATCAACCTTTTCTCATCGATTCCACACCGTTTCTTTCACAATACAATCGCATGACTTTGATTTTTTTGTTGATTTAAAAAAAAAAAAAAATCTTTTTGATCAAAGATGTAGTTGAGGTCATGAGAATATAAATTCTGGAGGTGTAAAGATTATCATAAGAAAAGATATGAAGGATACAAACAAAGATTAACATATAGAAGGTAGAGAGAGACAATGATTGGATAAAAACGAAGAATAAAGTAAAGATAGATGGAGAGGGAGAAAAATACATGTACAGTAGCTGTACTGTGAAAAAACGTACACTGTAGAACTTAGAAGATAGAACAAGGGTAAACAAAACTCAATATGAGCTTCGAATGTGTTTGGATCACTGATATTGATGGTCTTAGGTTTAAGCTACAGCAACAAATCTTGAATTTACAACAAAAAGAATGATGTAGTACACTGTAGCTTAAAACTTTGTATACATGTAAGTAAGAAAAATCCACTTTTAAGATGTTTGAAGAAAACGATACTTTAACAGTTAACACACAAGCCTATGGAAGTGATTTCAATCCTTGGAGGCTTTATTTTGTCAGAAGTATGTAAAGAGCTCCCATATTAAAGTCCTTGCTAAAATGGGTTTGGCTTGGCAAGGTTTACTAGTAATCTGTAAATGCACTCTCAGAACTCAGTAGAGCTGAAATGCAATCAGACTGAAGAGCATTATTACTGTAATACAAAGAACAAACTCAACCATGAAGGAATGAATAGAGGAAGCCCTGTCTGTCCCACTCAGTGTTCATTGTAGTGTACCACTTTATGTGATGGTTGGTGTGAGTGGAAACTGAATTAGCATTATCCACACTGATGTACATGTACTACTTTACTTAGAGGCTTATACATACAATTACATGTAGTTTGCATAGTATCAAAACAGTAGTGTACAACATGTAACTATTCTTGACATATAGTTACTTGCAAATGTCAGTTTAATAATGTAATGTATGCACTGTGCATTGCCCCTCCCCCCCTTTTTGTAGGCACTTTAAAAAGTTATATGTAGATACATGTCCATGTAGTTCTTAAAGGGATCCGGTAACTTTGTCTTAGATCCTTTAGAAATAATCCTTGATTTACATGTAGCTCATGCTGCAATGATAATTATAAACCTTTAGGTCAGTCAGGAACTCCATGACTTTTACAAGCCGATCGCCTGTCTTATCATCAAGATATTAATGATTGGAATTACAAACTTTGAAAACCGTTCGCTGAATGGTTTTCATAACACTACAGTCTATTGGAGAAAAAGAGTATGGTAAAACCGGTCACTCAAAGATTTTTACTTTTTTGAAACACTTCTTGATCATTTTGAAGCACGATTTTCTTAGGGCTTCAATATTACACCATATCACAGACACTGGTAACATGTAGGACCGTGTATCTCAGATTTAACATTGTTAAACAATCCCTTTAAAGATACAAAGGTGTGATTGCTCCATGCACAGCTTGTCATGTGATATCGATAATGAGGATCTTATCACTCCCGGTCATTTTTTAAAGAGTTTTATTTAAGTACTTACCACAATAACTTGAAAAGTATTGAAAGCGAATCAAACCAAACTTGGATAAATTATACAAGTACATGTACATTATGAGCACTTAAGCATGCAAGTAAGGAAGAAGTGATTATATTTTTGGTGGTATCAAGATCAAAGGTTATAAGTCACAGGGTCGTAAAAGTGTCAAGAATCCTAGAAAATACATTGTTACCACATAACTTCAAAAAATCATTGAAGCCATTCAAAGTTTCAAACCAAACTTTAATGAAGTATGTACTGTATGAGCATGCAAGAATGAACTTACATGTATTAGATTGTTGGTATTTAAAGAGGTCACAAACCTGTTACAAAAGTGTTAAAAATCCCAGAAAATTTCTTATTACTGTGACAATTTTTGTTGTTGAATGAACCAATATTGATCAAACTTGGCTCAAGTATGAAAAACCACTGAAGAAATTAAATGATAAGCATTCGGGTCTGTGAGGTCAGATGTCAGAAGGTCACAGGAATACATGTACACTGTAGGAGAAGGCTTTAATATTACAGATGCAGTCGCATTCATCTTGTTGAAATTGGCATTTTACCGTTCATCCCACTTTTGTTGGGTGTATATATGTGTACATGTACATATGTGTGTGTGTGTGTGTCTCTCTCTCTCTCTCTCTCTCTCTCCCTCTCTCTCTTTCTCTCTCTCTCTCTCTCTCTCTCTAATTGTACTTCATCATCTCCCTGTCTTTCTTTCTTAACTCTCTACTCTCCCTTTCCGTTTTCCCTCTCTCACTCTTTCATTTTGTATCTGTGTTTGTCCATCATAGGTGATGTAATCTCAGCCATCAATGGTGTACCTGTCTCCTACTCATCAGCTGAAGCTGTGCTCAATTCTATGGAACCTGTCAAACAGGTAAGATCTACAAGGGGAGTTCCCCATTACATGCAAGATTGAATTTTGTTGACCTTCTTCCAATTCTTTGAAAGTTCATGAGATTGAATTTCTTTGTTTAGTGCAAATTTGTTCCCATGTCATTGTAATTGACCTTCAGTCAAGTGGGCTACTTGTGTTGTACCAATCATGGTAATACACTCAGATTTCAGATCATTTCTGATTAAGTTTCTCTATTTGTTACTTTCCTTATAGAATCAGGAAACGTAATTTAGTTCATTTAAAGACAGTGTTACTGAATAGTCCATTTTCGTAATGTAATCAAATTTAATGCACAAATCTCTGTTAAGTGCCTCGATACAAATAATTTCAATTACCTGTTACTCATAATAGTATTTCAATAGTGGTATCAGAATGCGAATTGCATACAGTGTACATTACGTGTGGCTAGGGAGGACAAGCCATTATGTTTGTCCTACCTAGCAACAATTAATGTCCATGAAATGCAATTATTTGTAACGGGTGAATGATATAAGTTATAACCGGGCATAAAGATTTGTGCATTAAATTTGATTATATTAACAAATGGTCTATTCAAATTCAAATTTAAGTTCACTTTATTCAATACTTTCATTAAAAATATACAAAGGAAAACAAACATATAAAAGTTATAATATAATACATGTATTGTATTGTATTGTATTGTATTTATTAAACTTCATTGATGTACATCAATATTCTGTTTATAATCATATAACACAAGTGGAGAAGACATGAGGAACAAGGGGAAAACATTCTAAATATGTACATTAATGAAAGTATTTGGAGACTACATGTAGACAGGAAGGCCGATGATATCAAACAAGCAACAGATTGTTATGAAAGATTGTTTCATATGTTTAAAGTACACGTACATATATACATGTACATTATGCATGAACATTGACCTGATATGTCTAGATATGATCAATTATATGCATTATACATGTAGTTCATGCAGGAATGCCAACTGACAATTTAATCATTCAATCAGCCCACTTCCTATACATTTACACGACTGAATTATCTTCATTGTTGTATGTATAGTATGGCTCTCCACATGACTGAGCCTCTATAGCATAAAGCCACAGCAGTTTATTGTCAGTTGACTTTGAGTGAATAATCCTGCCATCCATTGGGCTCTGTACTATTCAGTTGCTCTTGGCATTTCATTTAAAATTAGATTTGTGGAAAGGTCATTGGAGTGTACATAATGAATGTCAAGGTAGTGAAGGTAGATTAATACAGTGCAGTGCATACATAGTTATGCAGTACTGATGCATATATGATGTAAAGTGAATGCACTCTTATATGACTGTATAATTATGTATGCAGACAGTGTCTCAGACAATTATTTGTACACCTGTAAATCAATGATTCAAAGGAGGCTAAAACAGTAATTAATCAATATTTCATTTATTGACTGATTACTTGTATAGTGGATAACAGGTCCCTTTTGTACCAAAACAGATTAAAAAACATAAATTAAAACATTTTTTGATTTTTTTTCTTCTTACAAATATGTGCTTTATTGCCCCCCCCCCAACTGTTTGTACACTTTTTGGGTTAGAAACTGTTGCATACTGTGTATTTAAACATGGGAAATATACATTTAAATAAGAGTTTTGTGTGAAGAATACTAGTTTACCCTTTACACATGTATGTTGATGTATATCCAGTTGTATGTTAATTTTTTTTTAATGCACAAAGATGTCTGTTCTTATTATTTACTAGTTAAACGTACATGGAGTAATTCTCCAAATTTGGGTAATTCAATAAACAATCGGATTCCAAATATCTTTGAAGGCTTCATATCAGTGGCTAGAATCAAAGGATCTATTTTACTTTCACCAAAATTATGCCCAGTCTCAAATTCAAATTCACAATGCCTTTTCATATTGCAATCTGTGATGATCCTTCTGTTTAACCTATCACAACCGATATTCTTGCTTCCCAGGTGAGGTTATCTGTGGAGAGAGCCCCCTCATGGAATGGACAGATCCCCTCCCCCGTGGTCTGCCGTCCTCCTAACGGCACCCTGGTCAAGATGCTCAACAACATCGCTGAGGCAGCAAGCAAACAGCAGGATCAGCAGCAGCAAGGGAAAGAGGAGGGGAATCCCCACACCAGTCCTGGGGATGATGTGCCATGTGCTATCATGTATCTCACCCTGGTGAGGGACTCTGACAGCGATGATGCCCAGGTAACTACGTGAACAAAGCATACATGTTCGTTACAAAGGATGTGGGCTTGGAAGTTCAAATTGCTTGCAAAATATTTACCCTGAAATCAAGCAACTGCAGAGGAAGGGAGGGGGAAGGAGAGGGAGAGAGGGAAAGAGGAGAGAGAGGGAAAGAGAGAGAGAAAGAAAACTAGAAATAGAAGGAGAAAGAAAAGGGAAAGAGATTAGAATAGGAAGGTGAGAAATTGAATTATATAGAAAGGATTGAGAAGCTATATAATGTCATAGCGAGAGGAAGAATGAGCTGTCCTACCAATGGTAGCAAAATCTTTGTTTTGTGTATCTCCTTCTAACCTTTCTCACACTTTTCATCCCGTGTTACCCCTACAGGAGGTATTGTACAAATACCCTTCTTCCAGTGCATCAACCAAGTTCAAGGATATCAATGGTCTTTTCATTACCCTAGGGGATATGCTCATGAACATCACTGGAAGCAAAATCACATGGTAAGGAGTAGCTATAAATATTGATCTAATTATTGTCATCGCGTCTTTGTCGTCGATGTTGTCATTTAATCATCAAATTCAAATTCAAATCAAATTCAAAATTTATTGTCCAATGATTGGAAATTTGTTCCGTTGCATGTTAGTACAAGATAACAGATTATAAACATCAATAAGATACAAATGGATAGTACAGAATAATACATTTGACTTGAACATAGGTAAAACAAAAACAAAAACACAAAATGTGATAGTTATATTATATCATCCTGATCATCATTATTACATTCTTATTCCTTGCTTGCACTTTGTCATAGATTACTGGTACTGTTTGATATATCAGCATGAAAGTTCACAGTGTTTGAATGGGTTATATGATGTCCCATGGAAAATGAAGGGCCTTTTATTGTTAGGTGTATTGAAAGCAAGGGTTTTGCTTTGAATCCATGCTTGTTAAATAATTACTTGTAAAAAAAAGATCAAAATGCTCAATATATTACTCATTGCAGATCTAGTATCGAAAATAATATCGCTAGTGACATTCGTTTGTCTCGCAATGTATGGTCAACAAGGGATCTAAAAGATAACGACATTTCGTGTGCCGCTGCTATACTTCGTCGGGTGAAAAAATATATTGTTTTATATTCTATGGGTGGACCGGCGGACAAATAATTAGAACAATAACGGACAAGGCCTATTGGTCGAAGCACACAGGTGCTCAACCAATCAATGAGTCGTTGGCTCGGCTCGCCTGCCAGGCAAGAACAATGGCGTGCTCAACCAATCGATGCGGGCTGGCTGGACAGGGAGTGTAATGGTGACGTATCGTACGCATCCAAAATTCGGGGATATCGATCAAAATGGCGGCAAATATCCTTTAAATTCAATTTATTTGTTTAATGATATCTTAATCCACTATGGATCTGTTGCACTTTTGATACTGCTTTTATTGTAGCCTCCAAACTGTGAAATAGTTCCTTTCAAATTAGTTAACCTGTATCCATGAATAAATGTATTTCATCTCATGTGCATTGTATTCCCTCAGTACATCTCTTGAGGTGGGGGATGAGTTGGTGCATGTTGGTTATCACAAGTGGGGCTCCGAGCTGCTGGTCCTGGCCTTCCCAGCATGCTTTGCCTCCAAACACACAGTGCAATGTATGGTCCAACAACTAGCAAGGCTACTCAACTTCATGTTCCTCTCACTCAATAGGTAAGCTTACAAAGGCACCAGAAAGTTCGGCCATTTTGTATTTTATATTTGAACACAATTATGTTATTGTCTGCTTTCAGTTTGATTCTGGCTACACAATTAGCATGCTTCAGTTTGACTACTGTCAAACCCAAGACTTTCTCATGCATGGAATATGTTTACTCTTGGAGTGGTTTGCAGTTGTTTCCTGGTACCATGCTAAGCAGTGATTATATAATAACATTGATTTTTTTGCTGTTCAGGGGAGTTTCTTGCTGCACGGACAGCCAATGTTTACCAATACTCAAAAGTTTCTAGTTTTAGAATATAGAAATATTTGTTGTTAACTTTTTTTTTGTATTCATTCTCTCTGCAAGATTATGAATAAATCTGAAGTATATTGATATTATGAATAAGTATAGTTGTACCAAATATGTGCACAACACAAATTTTGTAGTTACCACGGTTGAACTTTGTGGTGTTCACCTCCATGTCAGAGCTCCATGTATCATCTAGAGTAACCTCCAATGCCTTTTAAAGGGATCCAGTGACTTTGTCTTTAATCCTTTAAAAAAATACTTGATTTAGCTCATGCAATGATAATTATAAACCTTAAGGTCAGTCAGGAACCCCATGACTTCTACAGGCCGATCGTCTGTCTGATTATCAAGATATTTATGATTGAAATTCAAGATCAAATTTTGCGTTTACCAAATGGTTTTCATAACACTACAGTCTATTGGGGAAAACGAGTATGGTAAAACCGGTCACTAAAAGGTTTTTACTTTTTTGAGGCACTTCTTGATCATTTTGTATTAAGCGCTAAATAAAATAAAATATTATTATTATTATTATTTTGAAGCGCAATTTTTTTAGGGCTTCAATATTACACAATATCATAGACACTGATAACCCGTAGGGCCATGCATCTCAGATTTAACATTGTTAAAGGATGCCTTTAAGAAAACTCACTTGTCCACATTGAGCACTTTTTGTGGTTTTAGACAAGCTTCTCACAAATTGTAGGATCTAGGCTGTTCCATGTGCGCTAAAGTATGACTTTTTCAAGGAGTTATAGTTGTAATAATGCATTTTCCTTCTCTCCTTATCTGTAAAGGGCATTTTCGGAGAGGAGAAACCACCAGAGACTAGACCACCTGTTTGCCTTGCTCTTCCATCAAGTCTTGGTAGACAGGAGTCAGCTAGAACCCAGGAAGAAGCATAAAGAAGACATCTTCCTTCAGATGTTACCTGGTGTTAGGTGGCTCAATCTGCCTGATCAAGATAAGGTATGTCTGCCCTGTGAGCTAATTCTGATGTCATTCATAGGAATGAACTGTCTGTCCCCATTATTGCTATTCAGCTATCACAGATGACTTGATAAAGGTCTTATTACATATGGGATTTAAGAACAAGTGCCACATTCATTTTTGAAAATTGATTGCAATTTATTATTTTACTCATTTATTTATTTTGGTTCATGCACTATGATACAAAATGTGTTAACAAAAGGCATAATTTGAAAAAATAATTATCATCTTTGATTTTGATTATTTGTATTATATGAAGTAAATTGAATTACTTTAGTGATTTGTCTCATGCAACATACTTGAATGTAAGAGCCAAAACTTTATCTTTTACAGCTCAATGTTGACTGTTGCCTTAGTGAACTAGAAGCCGCAGATTTTGCAGATTTGGTAAGCCCAAAACATTAGGTGTGATAAGACTTATTTGAAACATAATGAAATAATTCATAGTAGTTGTAATGTGGTGGTGATGGTGAGGGTGTCACATTTATTGTTACCTTCAAAAACCTATCCAGTCAGGCTACTGGTTGCTGGTGTATGGTGCATTGAATTGAATTGATATCTTTATTTATACATGGTTAAAAAAAGCCCAAACAGTTACCAGACTGTTTGTGGAGTCATGAAAGTTAAATATTAAGGAAGAATGCAAAGATATGTTAAAGAAATTTTGATTGGAGCATAGTTCTAAGCTGGTATTGAAAGAATCTCAGGGAAGCCAGCTTAGATGTTTACATTATAGAACTGTAAAGTGAATGATGCCAGAATAAAGATACACCCAGAGATGATTTCTTCCATCCAATGAATTTTGATTGTTTTTCTTTTCCAGTGTGACAGGCATTTTGACTACAGGAGACCATATGTGATATTGGGATCCTGTTTGTTATATAAGGTAAGCTTACTTCAATACAGTAGTTGCAGTCAGAGCATAATACTGATTATGAATACTTTTTAAAACATCTTCAGAAAGTGCATTCATATAATGCCCTTCTCAAGCTCTGATGGGCACAGTCTAAAATGCAGAAACTTCATGCAGTTTCTGAAGGGTGTTGATATCTCTCAGTGTTAGCTTCTCTGTATAGTTAGTTAGACTGTTCGACCAGGGATTATTTGCAAGAAAATAAGAAATGTCACCTGACAACATAACATTGCTTCATTGGTTAAATATTATAAGGGGAGGGGCTGTATGCAAGTATACTCATTGATTCATTTGTTCCAGTTACAGATAATTGATACTTTCTGCAGAGATGCCAACCAGTACGATTTTATTGTACTTAGTACGATAGTAAGAGTGAAATAGGATGATACGATATTGCCTCTTGAAATAAGATTTTTTTTCTTTCTTTTTTTTCCTCCATTTTTCAACAAAAAAAGATAAAAAAGATGTTAAAAACCATGAAAGCTGTGTGAAACAAGTAAACCCCGCAACCCCAACAGAAACTTTGCTTTATAATTTTCTCATCAACTGTTAATGAAAGAGCAAACATATTTACTTGACCATTCTTACCAGTAAAAACATTTTTCTGAAGTTTTATTGGTCCGGTGCCAACGGGCCCAGTGGTATTGTCGAGTTTTCTAGAAAATCTGATTTTTTAGGATATTCAGTCTGTTTTGTTTTTTGTGTCAAGAGGTTGGCATCTCTGATTCTGCACATCCCATTAGATTTTGCAGCATCTTTTTTTATTTCTTTCAATGATAACTTATTGCCTGTATATGGAACCCCCTTGTGGATTACTATTTCTGACTTGCTTGTCCATCACAGGGCTACATTCTTGCCAATCACTTGCCAGTGGACGACCTGATGGATGTCCACCTCTATGTCCAGTACTACAGCCTTAGCTCACTGTCCACTCAGCAGGCAGTCGGTCAGCTGGTCATCTGGAGAGAAGTCTTCCCAACGCGCCGGGTCCAGCCCATCGAAGCGCCCCACCCTGGCTACACAGAACCCCAGGGGAGATGGTTTCTGTTAATCGTCGGCTTGGTGAGTCCGGTGGAGTACAGATTTTCTCTGTGAAACTATATAAGAGCAACTAAGTAGACATGTGTCAAAAGGAAAACTCATAAGACAAGTTCACTGTCTTGCACAATTGTTTTGGACCCGCTGTAGTAACTCTTTTTAGGAGTCAGGATTGCATACAACAACACTGTGGTTTTGGTTGTTATCTTGATATTAATGTTTTATAAATAAGGTTATCTGTGTAGATAAGTAGGTATTTTGTAGTTCATATACCTTCATTTTATTTGTGTTTTAAGAAATGAAATACATTCCTGGTTTTCCCTATCTGTTCCGTCACTCTGCACATATGGTAATTACGGTCTACTTAATTTTGATTAATTGAAACCCAATTCCATGATATTTCTCTCCATAGAAACACTCTGTACTGTGTGTGCTACTAGAAGCAGGGGGATGTGCGTCACCGTAAGTAACCATTCTAATCAAATAATTAACCATCTTATTATTCCTCTCACAAGTATGTCCATATCCATTAGTGAGGATGTAGTGCTGAGGAATCAACTTAGGTTCTCATTTGCAGTGCATGCATGTTGGTGCATTTAAAACTTGTTGTTGGTGCACATGAAATATTTTTGTGCGTGTTCTACTACCCAATTTTGATAAATCCTACACAACTTTATATTTGATACATGTTTCTTTGTATCGTGCAACAATATATTGTGGTTTGTATAACATATCAATAATAACGCTAGTTTTTAATAAATTTGTTGTTATTTGACAAAGGCTTATAGCCACAACTTCAAATATATTTGTATCTCCTATGGTTGTTTTATTATTTCTTTTTCACTTAGTTACCTATACATGTGCTAGAAATGTCTCCCTGTGTATTATCTTAGCAAGTCCCTCCTTATTCTCCATGTAATGAAATCTTTATTTTCTTTTCCGATCATTTTTGGATGTAGATGTGAAGGTGTTGTGTACCCTGATGAGTTCTATGTGGATCAAAGCAGAGCAACTCTTCTTCATCTTGAAACCCTGGATGTTCCATCAGCTTGTGAAGAAAGGTGATTTGCCCACACAAGTACACGTATCATTCTAAATAAAGGGCTTGTTCCCACAAGGCCATGGATCTTTGTGCAAAGAACAGTGTAATTTACAGTCTACCAAGCTTTTTATTGAATCGTAGTGATTTTTGTGAGGTAGTCATTGTAGGACTGCATCCTACTGAACTCTGTACAAAGTAGTTCTGATCTTAAAAGTGGGGAAACAAATAGCAGAAGTGGATATCAGTTATTTACATTCATTAACGATGTACGGACAGAATGTGATTCCTAATGGAATCATTTATTAGTTTTTCATACTCTGTTGGTCTTTAGCTCTGAAAAAGGTCTTGTTGGATATTTGCCCCTTATTTTAACTTGTTGTTTCTTGCAGATTAAAAGTACCCCCCATCCCAGCGCTCTCCTGTGCGGACTGGCTCTTCCCCAGCCCTAGGAGGGGTAGCTTTGATAGCAGTGTTCCTCCTAGACCCCACCCTGACTCACCCATGCTCAGCAAGTTACACAGCCAGTCACAGACACCACTCAAAGGTAAGCTCTCCCAGCTCTGAGGCTCAGAGGAATCCCCTCAGATAGGATGTAAGATAGAGGTCCCATGTACATAGTAAAGGTTGTGTGGTCTAGTGGATACGTCATCATCACATGGTTCACAGTTCGAGTCCCGCCGCGGCACTGATGTCCTTTGGCAAGACATTAGTTTACTTTTGTCACTCTCCACCTGGTAGAAGAAAATGGGTACCCTGGAGGGAGAAATTTCTTGAATGTTCTAACGCTGTATTATGGTGGCTCAGCTACAGCCAAGGTAAACTATGTTCCTAATGAATCAATAATCTGGGAAGGTGAATATAAGATGCTCAGATTCAGATAATTTGGTTACTATCCTGCATACATGGCATGTCATGCACTTGGTAAAGCCATAATTGACATCAGCTATAATTGGTGGAAGGATGTCTGAGTATGCATAAACCCCAAAGTGATGAAAAAGAAGACTCTGTTTCCCATTATAACAAACACCATCGATCAGTCTAAAAGTCCCTGCTGTCATTAAAGGGAGTCACGCATCAGTTTCCATGTGCAGAAGGCCATAATTCGCTGACACCAGACTTGGTGGAAAAACCATTAATGGGAGTACAAATCTGCACACAGCAAACCCGTTGGCCGGTCAAGAATTACCCCCTTATCTCTTGGAGAGTCTAGCTTCGGATCCCCCTTCGGATCGGGTGAGGGAAAAGCAAAGCATTACATAAGGTCGAATGGTCATAAAACTCAAGGCTAACCCTGGTGATTGACAACACCTGTTATTGGGTAAACATCGATCGGTGTTTAATTCCCCATGAGAGCTGACTACTGAGTGTCTCTAATCACCCGCCCTCTGTTGTCTTCCCTAGGTAAGAAACCAGAGAGTCCACACATGCCCCACAAGCGATCCAGCTCCCCTACCCCACCGGTCTCCTTCCTCTCTGTCAGCCCCAACCCCTCACGGAAGCCCACGTCCACCTCCAGCCGGACCGAGTCGGACAACGAGAGTGACTCCACCAGCCCTCACAACTCCAGGACGAACAGTACTCAGTCTTCCCCCTCCACGACCAGGCGTAGTGATTCACGTAAGGAATCAGATGCTTCCATTGGCTCGGTTGGCAGCAGTGAGATATACAGGGTAAGATCATGCACTCAACTTCTCTTTCATGCACTCAACTTCTCTTTCATGCACTCAACTTCTTTTTCATGCACTCAACTTCTCTTTCATGCTCTCAACTTCTCTTTCATGCTCTCTTATAAATTGACAGGTTTAGGACAAGACCAAGGACAATTGGTTGTTAGACTTAAAACTGAATGCACTACTCATAGCTACTTGCGCCCTCTTTATAGCAAACAATGCCTAATTGATGACCATTATTCCCCATGATCCTCTTTTTCTTTTGTTAATTGAGAGCTGATTTGATGAGATAACCACCTGTCAGTGACCATGGAGGGATGTCTAATCCCTCCTGGCCAAAGTAGTGCAGTGGGGCTTTAATACATACCCTACCAAGGATTGAGTCAACAGTAATCATGAAACATAAAATGCTTCAGAGCATAAACAGCAGAAAGTGTTACATCACTTCATTATTTGTGTCCATTTTATTACATTACAGAAGTCAATTTTTTTTTAAAGCACTAAATCTTCTGGTAAGGTGCCGAAGCATTCAAGGAATTTCTTCGTACCAGTACCCATTGATCGAGTGTGGCAAATATTGACTAACTATTGTCAAAGGATGTTGGTGCTGTTTTATGGATTCAAACCCTACATCCTGTAACCAATAGTTCATTGTCCTATCTTGATGACCACAGCACCTCTGCATAATAAACATCTGTGTGTATTAAAGGTAATACAAAGTTTTGGGAAATTTTGAAAACTGGCTGGTTAGTGATTCTTTTCAATTTGGAAATATTTGGATGCCCCTGTGGATGGATTATAAGCACTAGAAAATTTTGCCCCTAAAACACTTCTGCTTTCGAGAAAAATTGAATATCAAAATTTCGATATTTTCAAATAGCGCCTACCGCCATACAATGGTAGCTGCGACAATGAAAATCTCAGAATATGTAGTTGTGATATATATTTTCCAAATGGAAATAGCCAGTCGGTCGATTTTAGTCAAGAAACATTGTTTTATAGCTAAATTAATATCTTGACCTTGAGAGGGAGCTACACAACAAAAAGAGAATTAATTATTTACAATTTACTTTACTCATCACTTTAGACTTGATTTCAACCGCGACAACAATCACTGAATACAGTAGGATCGCATATGTTTCCAATATGTTCATTTGAACCAAATTCATGGCCCCATACCAAAACTTTGTAATACCTTTAATCTATTCATATTTTGTGACACATGCTCTTTCATTTGCAACTGTCCTTGTGTAAAGGTAAGTTATCAATGCTGCCAATTGGAACAAGGAAATTAGATTCATTCATCCCTTCAGGCCATTAATGCAAAAATATAATAACCTATAGGTGTCGTAGTTGAGTGGTGTAAGCACTTGACTTGAAATGCAAAGGTTGTGGGTTCAATCCCCAAAAGGCACATTTGTCCTTTGGCAAGGCATTAATCTATATTTGCCACTCTATACCCAGGAGAGAAATGGGACCTGGTAGCATGACAAAAGCCTCTGTGTTAGTAATTGCCATATGCCCTCACAATGACCATATGGTAGAAATACTCCCCAGGGAGTGGAGATGGTGCACATTGTGCGTGAATGAATCCGATGGCCGGGGTAATACTATCTGTAAAATGCCTAGAGACCATATTTTGTATAAATCCAGATTATTATTCTTAATTTGTTGACTGTGCTGTAGGCTGTACGTAGAGGCCGTCTGATCCCTGATCCCTACTCTATGGGTGTGATGCAGAGGGCTCGGGAAGAGACTTCATCACCGGATTACTTCACAGCAACCAAGTGAGTATGGGTCAAAGGTCATGCTTTTCAAATGTCAAATTATGTACATTGTGATGCTTTAACGATCATATCTGCATTTGATTTTTTTGAAATTTGAAGGAAAACACTCTAGATTATTTTTGAATTACTAGGGAATTTTATTCATGTATCCTGTTTTCACAAGTTTTTAAGAAATGTTCATATCAAAAGTAGTCATGATTAATACATCACTAGCATAGAAATATGTGGAGTCAAGTTGGTAAAACTTACCATTAGGAAGCACAATTCTATATGTGTATATATATTGACCGTTTCCTTTGAATTTGAATTTTATTTGGTTTACACCTCACTTGACCACACATACATCATTGAACCTCATGATAAGCAATTCATAGTAACTTTTAGAGAGCTTTCTCAAGATGCATTCCCACTTCAAAAAGCTTTGAATTCTTTTGAACCAAACACCCTTTACATTTTTCTCTTTCTCCAAGCTCTCTATCCTCCTCTCCTCCTTGCCTATCCCTTTCTTCCTTTCTTACTTTCTTCCTTTCTTCTAGTTATAATGTATATTATGTATTTGTGTATGCGAGCTTACCCATTACAAGCTCTGCTTCTTCCTTGTAATACAAGTTCTTTAATTATATTTATGTTCCTACGTATAAATTGTATTGTTTGAACAGATGTCAAATATGTTGTCAAATTGAATGGAAGAAAAATATATGTTCATTTGAATCTTACTCCATTTCACCCGCCCCCATTTTAATGTAGACTAACGAGTGGGCGTGACAACACCATGTTCCACTACGTGCACCTGGACCCTGCAGCAGGTATCCTGATCACCCCTACGAGGTCCGACCTAGCCTTCCTGGGAGGGGTCATCCACAGTCAGCTGGTGGATAACTTCCAGCAGTGCTGTAAGGTCATCAGGCAACAACTCACTCTCCATGCTCATCTTAGGGTGAGTTGGGAATCTCTCATGCTCCAGTAGCAAGTGCAACTAATACTAATAGTGCACCGGGGATAATACGCATCCCTGAGGTACACCAGTACTGATGGAACGAACACATGAGATTAGCTTTCCTATTTTTACCTGCTGACACCTTGCTTCTGTACTTCATAATGATAATAATATTCGGTTCTTGTATACCGCATATCACGTTATACAACGTCTCTATGCGCTTCCAAAGAGCTTTGGAAATTATTACCCTAGCTTTAGCTCCGGCAGTCGTAATCAGCGTACAGTACATTTCAAGGAATAATCCTACCATGTACCCATTTACCTCACCTGAGTAGAACGTGGCAAATGTATAATAATATCTTGCCAAAGGACATTAGTGGCGCGGTGGGACTCGAACTGTGGACCTTGTGATCCACAGTCCAGGGACATATCCACTCGGCCACGACACCTCTTCTTCATACATACCGTATTTGCCGGCGTAAAGGCCGCAGTATTTTTGGAAGAGAAAATATCAAAAAGTCAGGGTGCGTCAAAACCAGCCCGAATTTGCACATATGGGACTAGATCTACGAACGGTACAATAACTATACATTTCCACACATCTTACCAACAATTTTATCTTGCATTGTTGACATGAAGACAAAAATAAACTTCCAAAAACAACATCTGCCGATAAATCTTGATCTAAGTTCCTGCCAATGCATTACAAAAGTAAAAGAAGGGCCCATTTAGCGGAGCTGCAGCGAAGCATCCAGCACGTGAAGTCGCTATTTTGAATCCATTTCAATACACAAGAGAGAGGCGCAATGTATACATCACAGAAAACTCCATATGCTAGCATCAGTGCGGGATGGCCGAGCTGTCTAAGGCGCTGATTTTAGTCACATCGACAATTGTACGCAAGAGATCAAATCTCGACTTCGACAATTTTTTTTTTTTTTTTTTTTTTTTTTTAAATGTCAAAATCGGGGGTGCGGCCTATACGGCGCTGCAGCCTTATCGCCGGCAAGTACGGTATGTATTTATCACAACATCAACAACAACAGCAACAATAACCTCATGATAACAACAATATAAAAAAAAATTGTAGATACTAAGGCCATGTAAAAAAATATACATGTTTAGCGTTCCCCCCCGCTTCCTTTTTGGGGGCCGCCTCCCCCTTTTTTTCTTCTTTTTTTGAAAATTTTTTTTTGAATTTTTTTTTTTTTAAAGAAAAAAAAGCATGAAAAACACTGCTAAAATGGCTCTATTTCTGATTTATATGTGAATATGCATGTGACACTAGCCTATAATCTAGGCGGAGTGCCGAGCTTTTTTCTTTGCTGCTAGACTAACCCTAAGCAGAACGTCTGATACGGCGAGACTACGAACCGTGAGTCGCGAAGCGGCTCACCGCCTATAATCACCGGTCTAGCTTTAGTCGTTGTTTTTTTTATTATCGACATTGAATCCGTGCCAGTTTTCGTACGAAAAACTGCCACGGATTCAAGGTCGATAATAAAAAAACATCGACTAAAGCTAGACCAGTGATTATAGGCGGTGCGCGGCTCACGGTTCGTAGTCTCGCCGTATCAGACGTTCTGCTTAAGGTTAGTCTAGCAGCAAAGGAAAAATCTCGGCACTCCGCCTAGATTATAGGCTAATGTGACACCTGTTCTAAACATTTTTACATAATAGCAGTGAAGGGATGGTCCTTTATCTACCTGAGGAACTGTATATTTTGTCCTCTTTCTTTGTCCGTTATATTCATAGTGTATATACCTCTAGCTTATCTTAATTTTAAGGTTTACATTCAGATTTTTTTGTTTTTGTTTTTTTGAGGCCGCCATCCTTGTCAAGCTTTGCTTATGATTGCGGTCTCCTGCACTTTTCCAACAGAATAGTTTGGTTAATACTTTAAATTTATGATTATATGTTATGGAAACATTAAGTTTTGTTATTATATGTACATATATTATGTAAAAAAAACAAAATATTTTGACATGAAGAAATTATTGTTTATTTATGTTGTATTATACCTTACATTTATATGTTCTTTGTTATTCAGTTATATTTTATATGGAAAAAAATGCAGAAATAAAATCAAATCAAATAGATCAGGACACCGAAAGAACAAAGAAAAACTTGAAGACTTTGGTTTCTTTTCAGTTTTATAGTGTTGAGAAATTAATATAGTCTCCTGTTTAATAACCAATAAATTTGTTTTCTTCCTCCTGACAGCCCAAAGATCAGCTGAGTGGTAAAACAGTTCTAAGATGTGATGCTCTCACCGTTCTACGAGAGTTTGGAGTCTCTTTCAGATGTCATCCTGAGAACTGGCCAGAGAAGAAGCAGCCACCCTCCATTAAATACTGGGTTGTTGGGTGAGTAGCCATCATTCTAACTTTCTCATTCATTCCAAATGTTGGCTTGAGTTGTTGTGTTTAAAAGTGTGCCTCTGAACAATGTTAACAATTTGGCATGTGTTTTTGTGTTTAAAAGTTTTCCACTGAACAATGACATGTACATAAAATGCAGGTCTCGACACTAATAGGGGCTCAGTAAACACGGGTCCCCACATTAGATGTGTGGACACCCACATTTGAAAGCTTGAACAAAGGGCCAATGCAAACAGACTCTAAAAATGTCAATCTGGCCCCCTCTGAACAAAAGTTACATGTAGCATGAATCCCTAATAAACCTATCAGTATAAAGTTACAATAATTTTTTAGACAATCGATGTAGGTATCCTAACGATTTTGTTTAAAGCTGCAAGAGAATGATTATTGAATTATAAAGTTGAGATGAACATTGATTTCACTTTCTGTCTCTTTTTGAATGCAGGAGATTGATCAAAGGACCGAGGGGACCCAAGGAGTGCTATGTATGCTATCATGACAGCACCACACAGAACACTCTGGAGCTGGCCTTCAAACTGGTGTTTGGTGTTGGTTCATGATGAAGGAATATGGAACATCCATCAGCACTCTTCTCTTTTGTGAGGTTGTCATGGTGATGACAGAAGATGTTATTGTCTTACGCACCTAACGGAAGGATGACACTGAAATCCTGAGTCTACAATGTAGTTGCTTTGATGCTGCTTTGCAGAATTACAATGTTTTGATATGGCTCAAGATTCCAACAGCGTCCAATGTTTGGGAATATTCTGCTGTTCAGTGTCACTGAATTATTCTGGTGTTTAGTATCACACAATGACACCGAGAAGTATTGTGTCGCAACCAACATTGGTGTGCAGGTTTCAGAATTACACCAATGAGCTCTATCACATTATTATGTTGGTGTTCCATGTCACAGAATAACACCTAGATGTGTTGTGTGACGGACTTGCAACAGTGTTGACACCAACACCAAGATGTGGTGTCACAGACAAGCACTGGTGAACAGTGTTTCAGATTTACAGTGTGTGCTTTGTCACAGAATTATACTGGTGTTTGGTGTCACCACAGCGTATTGTGTCACAGACTTGCAATGGTGTTCCATTTTTTGAAATTACATAGGTGTTCTGTGTCAAAGAATAATTGAATTACAAATTCCACCAAGATATATTGTCTCAGACTTGCACTGGTTTGCAAAGTCATAATTACTCTAATGTACTTTTGTGCACACTTACATTTGTGGGCTGTGTCACAGAATTGTACCAGCACCAATATCGCAAAATTATGCTGGTGTCTCATGTCACAGACTCTACATTGATTTATAACGATGTACATGTTTAACAGGATTACACCATAATGCTTTGTCAGAGGAGTACTATAGTGTATGATGTTGCAAGATATATGCCATTGTGCTTCATGGCAAGATTACATCATCTATTTGCTGTGTGATACATGTAAAACTATGAGTAGGTGTATCTGGTATATATATCTTATCAAGAATGATATAATACTAAGAGGGGAAAGCTATCATTTGAGAGATAGTAATCAAAACCTGGTTGGATTGGTGAATACTCGGAAGTAAAGAGTTTATCTATAAGTCTTGTTGATTAAAGGGATCATTTAACCATGTTAAATCTGAGGTGCACGGCCCTACGTGATATCAGTGTCTGTGTGATATGGTGGTATATTGAAGATTGCACTTCAAAATGATCAAGAAGTGCCTCAAAAAAGTAAAAACCTTTGAGTGACCGGTTTTACCATACTCGTTTTCCCCAATAGACTGTGATGTTATGAAACGGTTTTCAAAATTTGTAATTCCAATCATAAATATCTTGATATCAGACAGGCGATCAGCTTGTAAAAGGCATGGGGTTCCTGACTGACCTAAAGGTTTATAATTATCAATAATATATGGTTTAATAATATATATATCTGTAAAGTGCTTTGAGAGGGCCTTCGGTCCTGAAAGCGCTATATAAGAACTAGCTATTATTATTATTATTATTGCAGCATGAGCTAAATCAAGGATTTTTTTTTTAAGGATCTAAGACAAAGTTACTGAATCCCTTTAATGAATGTCCTGGGAAGGACAATGATTCAACACTATATGAATCACCATCTTAATATATGTAAAGCAACTTTTGCACAATAGGGTTTTGAAGATATTATGCAGAAGATCATTTATGTAGAGTCTTTTGCAGCTTCCTGATCTGAATGTTAATTTTAAGAAGCTATTGAGTCACAGAGGATGTCATTAGATGTGCTACAAGCAATAAGTCATGAACTTGACTATAATTTTATATGATCTATGATGACTCACAAACAATTAAATTATTTTGGTGGTTTTGATGACTAGTTTGATAAATTCATAGGAGCTATCTTGTGCTGAGACCACTGAAAATCTTACAATATGGTGCTACATGTGGTGCTTGACACAACTAATAAATTAGTGATAGAATGTGAGAATAGTATAATAAACTGAGCTAAGGAGGAATGATTTAGGGATATGGGCCCTGGTTCATGAAACTTGTTATTGATAACAAGATATAATAACTGTTATAAGCTACTGAAACCATGGCATTTGATTGGCTGAGAGCAAATTTGCCTTATAAATTTAGCATTTGTAATTGATGAAAAGTTTTACGAAACAGGGCCAAGATGTTGGTTAGAGATGATGTAAGATAAGTATGATCCACATGCAACTAACTCAAAGTGCTGTGTACCAGGAATATTTTATAATTTATCAGTGTGCGTATCGAACAAATTAATAGGGATACAAGTTTACAGGAAATACTTGTAATGCACTGAAACTCCCCTCCAATTGCCTATTCAGCTGCATGTATTTTTTTATTGATAAGCTTAACTCAGATAATTAGTTTTGAGTACGTTAGATGTTTACTGCAAGAAACATGTATTTTACTTCATAATTCTTGTTCGAGAATATATAATATACTCTTCCCTCTCATTATTCATAAAATAACGATCAAACTTCGAACATATATTCTCGTTTAATATAACCATTTATTCACAGCTAACAAAAATAACAAACAACCAAATTGGCGTTTATGTCGTGGCTTTATTAACATTTTGAGATGGACGCTTATTTTGCACATTTTGATTTTCTGGGTGTCATAACAAAATAACACAGATATATTGAATCATAAAAAATGCTTACAAATGCTAGGCCCCCCGCCTATGAAATCGAGTGATGCCTAGGCTAAACTTAAATACATTTAGTCATTATATCAGCCCCCCGCCTATAAAATCGAGTGATGCCTAAAGTTATAGAATATGGATGTATATATATACCAGCCTCTCCGCCTGTAAGATCGGATGATGCCTAAGATTAAAGCGTGACACCCTGAGTTTGAAAATGTGTAGGTACAACTAGGTCCCCCCGCATTCAAATTGAATGGGGGCTGGAAAACTAAGAATTGACATGCGAACAAATTCGAGTGAATATACATTGGCAACCCCCTCGCATGTAAAAATTGAGTGGGGTCGAAAATTATCGGATGACAATTATTGATCAATAATCTTAAACAATATCGTGGAACTATTATGTAACATAATCTCTCTGGAAAAAGAAAAAGAAATAAAAATTCACAATAAACACGGCATATACAAAACCGGGTAGGGGCGAAACCCAATGGGAAAATTCCCCTACGGCCCACTTTCTTTGTGCACGACGCTTATCATTATTATTCTTTAAATTGATGTGCGACCAGGCCAAATGCCCCTGGCTCTGCATTAACTTCATAAAACACTGACCAATTTATTACATAAACCCTATCCGTACCTTTCATACCTGAAACCCTAAATCCTTTCCGTACTAATACGTATACCTTGGCTACTTCGAACCACTAAGCAATACTTAATTTATGCCACTAATATACTAAAAATACTTTTATTGGTGGAGATAATGGGGAGGTGGTGGGAATGTTTTAGACTCCGTAAATTTTTCTTCTTGTCCATTCAAAATGAAAGCCATAACTAGAATGAAAGCCCCTTCGTGCTATTTTTAATTTGCTGGCAGTATTTTCCGCGCTTGCTTGATAAGCGTACATACGCTTGTACATTTCCTTCCAATGTAATACAAAGTATTACATTTCCTAGCGCGTGAATTTCCCTCAAAAATGTAAACAACCTCTTGACCTACATTTTGTCAGCCTGTCAATAAACCATTTTAAATCGTTGTCTACTCTTTAAATTTTATTATATGATGCTGGATATGAAGTCCTTGAATAATAACAAACCTTGACTGCAGATTCTAAAATATGTAACACATGTGGGTGTTATCACAAAAATGTAGTACAGCAAGTCTTTAAGTGGCATTAGTAGAACAGACTTGAGTAGCATTTGAGACTATATCTCATTTTATTTGATGATCAGCCTATCATGTTCCTTTTTTTTCTTCTCTCTACTTTTATCAACTTTTTACATTTAAACTTTCATTCCTTTTAGTTCTTGAATATATTATATGGGATCTGGAAGTGGATGGCATGAGAGGGAAAGAAAGATCAAAGCTTTCACAGAAAGATATGGTGAAGATAGAAGGTATCAAGATTGTTCTAAATAAGGAGGATGCTCGAGACAAGAAGAAGTGGAAGGAGGAGTGTCATAATCATGAAAGTCAGTAACTTCTCATAAGAGGGAAAATGATGACTTTACTAAATGATGATGATGTTGATGATGATCTTCCTATTACATATCATTAGCATGATTTTCAAATGTAACTTTTCTACTTTGAGTTACAAACGATAGAACTATTTTTATAAAGCAATTTGATATACTGATATTGATCATATTTCCATGATTTTCTTGAGTAATTCTCCTTTTCTTTGAGCTTTGATACACATAACTTGATCTCTATCATTTTACCAGAGCCCTTAGTCTGGCAAGCAACAACATTTTTTAGCTTGTTGGTCTGTACTTCTGAAACAATTCTTATACTGTACATGTACATGTAGATCCTGTTTAATCTCTAAAATGAGCAGAATCAGAAGTAAGTTCCTTGTTTTTTTCTTCACCTTGACATTATATTATGCATCAAAAATGTATTGGTTTTTGATTGGTTGAGAGCTCATCTCATGACCAGAAATATTTCTTCTATTTTAAGGTTGCTCTGAAAAAGTACTATATGAGAGTAAAATGAGAAGAATCACAAGTAAGTTCCTTGTTTTTCTTCACCTTGACGTTACTATTGCTACAGGAGAACTACCAGGTCCTCTGACGTCTCACTTAAACGTGTGTATTGAAAGTTAAGAATGGGATATCCACAAACTTGGATGTACATGTGTGATGGTTTATGTGAAACGATGACCTTGGTTGAAGGGTAAGAATTTAGTGAATGTTAAGGTACCATGTCCCATTTGCAGACCACAAAAATGAAATCCATCAGCATTTGAAAGATAATATTTTGTTAAACTTCCCTCAAAACAAAAAGGCTTGAAAATGTCTTTTGTGGGAAAATAACGACCGTTAGTTGTCAAATCGAATTCAGTGATCGCGGTCATTCATATAAATACTGGTAGTCTAATTTTCAGACCCTTGTACCAAATGATGGTATGTTTTGGGCTGCACAAAGATTCAATCAGTTTAATTTTGGTCATTACAAGAAGTGGGTTATTGATGTGTACAAATGCTCATGAACCCTTTACAGCTCATGTTATGTATGTTATTACCAAAGAAAAAAATAGGTCAGTCAGTCACTCAATAGTGTCTGACAGTGAAGTCTAGTAAGTAAACGGGTTTCTTTGCATAATTTGAATACTATGACACTGCTGATGTTTAAATTCACAGATAGGACATACGTGACATATTCATAATTCCTACAAAGTTCTAAAGAATTTGATGTTGGCGGCAAAAGGGATACACTACCTTTAATGCCAGAGCATGTATTCTACATTTGCTGGACAGCTTCTTGATGCAATTGTGTCTTGATGCTTGTGCAGAAGCACTATCTTCTATTGTGTTAAGAGGGTTCCAGAGTCCAGAAGGCACTGCCTTGTAAATCATATGTTGTCCTTGTTACACTTGAACATTCTAGTTCATGTGCACTATATAGAGAGTTTAGAGACAAGTACGGTAGATCACCAGACAATGAAACCAAAGGTAGAGGTATGCTGAATTTATATTTATTAGATTTTTCCGAACAAAGTACTTAACCAGAAAATGTGTACTAATTACTAAACAGTACATCTATATACAGAGTAAATGGTAATATATTCCAATAGCCATTCTCAACTTATAGACCCAGGGCATAATGGACTGCTTGGAGGGGGAAAAAAGAGGAAAAAAGAAGGGGGAAAAGGGGGAAAAGGGGGGGAAAGGAAGGGGGAGAGAAAAAAAGAAAGAAAAAGAGAAAAAAATCCTTTAAACTTCGTCAGATTTGGCCCATATTCGAACTTGACCTGTGTCTTTGCAAGATGTGCCTATGGTGCAAATTTGATGATCCTGCTTCAAAGCAATTAAAAGTTATAGGAAATAGTGGGTTTTTTGTTTTCAGTCTAAATTTATTGACCACTTGACCTTGGTAAGAGTTTGCTTATATTTGAATTTTACCTGCGCCTTTGCCAGATGTACCTATGGTGCAAATTTGATGGTCCCACCTCAAAGATATGGAAAGTTTTTGAAAGTAAAACATTTATTGTTAGCTATGCAGGCGCAACCAAACGAACCAAATATTCTGAATGTATACAAAGATTTTGTTTTCTTCTAGATAAACATACCTACGCACAACCAGGCACACAATCCCATGAACATTT